GGGGCCGTGCTGGAACATGGTTGGGACTGGTGAGACAGCGTGGGGCACCAGGCGGTAGGAACAGCTGGACAAAGGGCTGGGGCGGGCACATGGAGCCTGAAGAAGGAGGATAAATAGTTTCAGCCAAAAATGAGGCTGGTACTGAACAGGCAAGGAAAATAGGACTGAATGTTGTGGTTTAACCGCAGTAGGCAGCGAAAACACTACAGAGCTGCTTGCTTGGTCCCTTCCCAGTGGGATGGGGGAGAGAATCGGCAGAGCAAAAGTGAGAACTTTTTTTTTTGGATTGAGAGAAAGACAGTTTAATAAATAAAAAGGAAACAGAAACAAACCCAAGAAAAGTGATGCGAAAAACCCCAGCTGCTCATCACCAGATGACCAATGCCAATCCCCAGGCAAGGCAGTCCCAGCAAACTCAACCCCCCAGTTTTTGTTGCTGAAGATGACATTACACGGTATGGGATATCCCTTCGGTCGTTGGGGTCAGCTGTCCCGGCTGTGTCCCCTCACAACTTCTTGTGCACCCCCAGCCCAGTCGCTGGCAGAGCAGGGTGAGGAACAGAAAAGGCCTTGATGTGTAAGCCCTGCTCAGCAATAGCTAAAACATCCCTGTGTTATCGACACTGTTTTCATCACAAATCCAAAACACCTGCATATGAGCTACTGTGAAGAAAATTAACTGTATCCAAGGCAAAACCAGTAGACTGGGATTGGAAGCCATAGTGGGGTAAGAACAGAAAAGAGCTTATGTGGGTGCATGCCTGTTTGGGAGAAGAAGAATCAAATGGACAATGAGGTGCCCTTTATATACGCTTCTTTCTGCATTGTTGAATAAAACTGGAAAGCTAGATTTTTTTTACTCTACTGTCAGTAAACGTCTCTGAATCCTACAGGGAAGGTATGGCATCTCTCTAGTGCAGTTTGCAGAGATGAGGACCAGTTAGTCCCCTTGCTTAAGCGGCAACTATTTCAGTGCTGGTTGTTGATGCTCACACAGTGGTGGGATTCTGGGTTGTTTTTTTTTTCCCAGTTTGCTTAGGAAGTTACACATTTTTCCCTGTGTTAAAGAACATGATTGCCTTTTGAATGTTAATAAATTAAAAGTTAGAAAATACCAGAAGCTCCTGTGCTGCCTTAAGTCAGACCCTTAATATTTACATTTCCATACCATTTTCGAACATTCTATTCCATAGTCATTTTCCCCCTGGACAATGTTTCTTTCAGTGTCTGGGCTGCAGATTCTCTTCAACTAGTCCTGCAGTTGTGGACTTTATAAAATGTTTATTCACTAATGGGAAGGGGGAAACCAATATTAACAGAGTCAAAATGGTTAGGCAGCTTTTGTGTTCAAAATGGCACAAAAAGGAGCTTGGACATGCTTGCACCAACGTGTAAGCAAATAGCCTTTTACTAAGTCTCCTCTACAGTAGTGTGTCAGTGTAATATATCAGTTATCCTCTGCATGCATCAATTCTTCTACCTGACACACAATCCTGATATTGTAGGTGTTCAGGTAAAAAGCAGAATGGTATTGGCTTTGTTTCACTGCTCTGATTTTTTTTTTTTTAAATTAATGAAAAACTGGATTCTTGATGTACCTTAAATTCTTGCTAATATCCCTGAGAATCTTCTGCAAGACTGGACCCAAAGTCCAGGACACATTGTGAAGTGGTGACTTATTTGCTGATGAAAGGAAAATATCTATTTAATAAAAACCTTTGTTGTGATGGCATGACAGTAAAAAACTTGCTACTCCAGGTGGATTCTGCAGCTGTTTCCCTTGTGTATCTTGTGTGTGTAAATAGACAATACCATTATTGCCAATTTCACAGAAGTTATTTATTCAGCCTGTTAATGCCCAGGCTTGTTAGACATCTACATCTAAACCAGTGACATGTATAGTCAATGAATACAGAAAGGCGTTTGGAAGGTGTGATTCATCTGACCTACTTTGGCTGGCTGTTGTAGCATGAGATGGCTCACACCCTCGGAGCTGCCTCTTTCTCTCCGTTGGGTATAAAACAAGCTGAGGATGACTGGCTTGCAGATGGATGTCTGCATTCCTTCACAGCCATCTCACTCTCGTCATCTTTTTCCTGGCTTATTTGATTATTGTGCCATGTAGGCAGTTTGCTAATGGCCCACCTACCACTCTCATTTAACACTCGTGAAGAAGAGATTTTTACTTCAAAGAATAAATTGAATCATCCATGTCCGTAAGGGGTCTGTACCTAAAGTACCTGCTGATTCTCAGTGATCGTGGATGTAATACTGTGAAATCTTTCAAAGGCTTTAATGCAAGTCAGCTTAAATCTGACTCTGAATTAGTGTAATCAAGATACAGGTTTTGATTGGGAAATGTCATGGCAAATGTTTCTGAGAGAGAGTGAAGGCACATAATACTGCAGTATACTTCTTAATAGACAAAGAGGTCTTAAAGCCATATATTTATGCATGTCAGCTATGTATGAGTGTTGATGGAGTTGTGTGTTAATTCAGCTTGTGAGATTCCAGCTTCTGCGGCTTTCCTGGCAAGGAAAGCTGCAGCATTTTCCCAGCGCACCGCTGACTGCAAGTGTCAGAAGTCTGTAGCTTTCAATACTGTGTATGCTCTTCCCCACGGTGCCTTTTGCACTGTGCAGTATTGTTTCTGCTTTCTTTGTAGGTTCTGAAGGCATCTGTTATTCTGTCTTCTACAGGAATCGGTAAAGGTCTGCCATGTTATAGAGCTGACGCCCTAGAAGTGATGATTTGCCTTGAGCTTCTCCTTTAATGTTTCACTGGTTTCTCTCTCCACTATAGAAAATGGCTTCAGGCAGCCCTTTGCCCAATACATGTACCGACATGGAGATCTGGACAGCAAAATGTGCAGGAAAATGGCTTTCATCCTAAGTGGCTGTCACTTTCAAGTAAAATAACACCCGTACACTATCTTAAAAAGAAACTTGGCAATTTTTTTCTTTTGGCATTTCAATCACAGCCTTCTTATCTGAACTATGCCTTTTTTCTCCTTTTCTTCACAAGAGCTTTCTTGTTATGCTTAGCATGCAAGGATGTAGTTAAGTTCCCTTGATGACTTAAATGTGAGCTTCCAGGATTTATGGGCTTTCTTCTGTGAGGACTATAAATTGGCCATTGACGTAGGAAAGATTCATAGGCCTTGAATATGTCTAATGATGTTTAACACATATGAGGTTGCAGGTAAAGTCACACCATGGTCCCTCTGAGTACAGCCCACGTCTCTGTTTCGGCAGGCAGCAATATACAGCTGCGTTAAATGCACAGTAACAGATACATGGCTTGACTGTCACTTCCTATCACAATGAGAAATAACTCCAGAAATGCAAAATACTTCTATACATTAAAAAACTTAAGTATTTACCCAGTTGGTCAAAGTGATTTATTTCTACATCCCTTCTCTGTCAGGGCAGGGACTGTAATTTACTGCATATACAGTGACTAAAATTGAGAGGTTCCACCCTGGCTACTTTCTGGGTGCTCTTGGAGTATTAAATATTCAATAATAATTAGATTTTTTAAAAAACTGGTGTCAGTTGCCAAATGAAAGTAAAAATTTCAGTCAGTGTAGCAGTTACAGTCTGATACCTGACATTTTATCGCTCCCGTACATATTTTCATCAGGACAAATTTTCATCAGGACAAAATATAATTGGAAGTTGGCTGGCAGTTTTGCTAATGCTGCAGAGAGAATAATAAAATCTAATGTAAGAAATACTGTCTGTAGTCTTGGAATGGTCACGGAAATTAAAAACTGAAAACATTGGGTTTAAAGAAGTCATTCTTCCTGTGTTATCCCTGTGCATCCATCTAAGCACCTAGTTAGGATTTCTTTGAAAAAGAAAACCATTTCATTTTGATACAGCTCAGCTGTAGTTCCAGCATTGACTGTGTCTAATTTTCAGTGTTATTTCCTTCTAAAAATCCCATTTTAGCACTCACTGTCATTGTAATTTCCCGTTTTCCAAGCACTGAGAAGTTGATAGAAATCTGCTTTACCGAAACCTTATCTGTTTGTATTGGAATGATACCAGCAATGTAGTAAGATTTTGTCTTTCTTCTTCCTAGCCATCTGCCTCTTTCATTTGGAGAGGGAGCAAACAGACAGCAGCAATCAAATTTCCTTTGCTTTTCCTGCATCCAAGCTTTTTGTCTCCTGTGTTTCAAGTCTGTCTTTTGTTGGGGCTTTCACCACACCCTTTTTGTCTCCAGAAGTTACCAGTATTTTCATTATTTCTTTGCCTATGTCCCCCCCTCTCTAATTTAACATTGGTAGGGACAAAAAGAGCGATGGAGCAAGGTGGGATTGGAAGACCCAGCTCTCCTCTGCCATTTGAGATGTCTGTCTTAATGTGCTCCAGTGTATTTCTTGCACTGAAAGCTTACTTGAATTACCTTCAATTACTCTTTCTATTTGAGCTTTTCAGCCCTCCTTATTCCAGGCATACCTCTTCTGTTTCTTAAGATTGTTTGGTTTGCTTCTGCTTCTGCAGCTCGCAGTTGAAATCAGATGTTTCAAGCTGTGGAAGAGAAATGTCACCAACTGAATGTGAGCCTGAGTGCAACAGGTGATTCCATTGCGCAGTAATTAGCTCTGTCATCAGAGCTTTGATTTCTCATGGGCTAATTAAGTATTTCTTGAAGAGCATTTCTCATTATGAACAGATTCAGAAAGAGAAGATCCATATTGACGTGGAAGCTCCCCTTTAAAAAAAAAAAACACCAAGAAATAGGACAACACAATGATTTTCTCTCTTGCATGTTTTAATGAACTAGGCTAAGATTTAAATGACATCTGTTATCATATTGATATTGTAAAGCATTTTCCAAAGAGCCTTATTTGCAGAGTTGTGTTCTCAGTTCTTTTGAAATATCTCAATTTGGGCACTGAAAAATGGAGGCACCCAAGAACCATTGGTTGTTTTTTTAAATCTTAGCTTTCCAAGCTTAACTTTAAAGGACGAAACCACAACCTGCTCCTGTGTTGCACTGCATTGTGTTTTGCTCGCACCTATGCTGGTGTGGGCTGACTTTGTGAGATCTCACAGGCAGAAGCATTTCTCCATAAATATCTCCAAAAAGAACCAGGCTGTTGGCATAAATACGGTCAATAATTTAGTTAGCCGTAATTTCCTCTTGGCATGATTGAGATTGTATGATTCGTTGTAGCACACTAAACTACCATCTTAGCGCTTAGAAGGATGAGAGTCATTCAGCATGTTGTCTCATGCATGTGGGTGGCTTGTGCTCTCATCAAAGTCCTCTGCTAGCTTCTGCTTCTGGTCATACCTTCGAAGGCAGAAAGAGCCCAGTTTCCATGGTACTTGTCAGCTGTCTGGCTGCCCGACCAATACACAGAAGTAATCAATAGGAAAAAATATATTTTCCCACAAGATTAAGTTTAAGGTACTAAAAAAAACGGTGGCTTTAGCTCCTGTATTTTTTTGGCAACACTCATCTTACTTTAATCACTGGCTTTCTTTTCTGATAGTCATGATATATGGTATGCTTTGATTGGTTTTGTTATGGGTACAATTTAGAAAATGACTATTGATCATTGAGCAGTGAGTCAAAGTGAAGCATTAATTCAGAACTTCAAATAGCACATCTCTCAGGCATATTCTTGCTTCAAAAAACATATTCGTTGGGCATCTTATTTAGATGAAAAAGTAAGGCCAGTGTCTTCTCTATATTTGTTTAATTCTGATGATCTGCTAGACAGTTATTAAATTTTAGGAAATATTGCTCTTGTTTTTTTATGGAAGTAATTTTATTCACAAAGTAGTAATGCTTCTATTATTTTTAAGGCACTGTAGTATCCATAGAGAAAAATACATTAAAAAACCATGGGCAACATGATGTAATTATGTAGGAAAGACCAACAGATACTTCATCTGAAAATATGTTCAATTTATTCTTTTTAATTTTAATAATAGGATTAATGCAATAGCCAATGTATTGACTTCTCTAAATACCACAGGCAAATGCTTGAACTCTCAATATTTGAACTGAGAAATACTGTAACAGAACTGGAAAAAAGACTTAGCAGTGTTGAAGATGAAGGTAAGTGAATTACAACAGTCTCACTAGTTGATTGAGAAACACAGAAAATTAATTATTTTCGGAAGGCCCTACAGAGATACAAATTTTGTTTAGAAATTTAAGTTTTCCCTTTTCTAACATGACTATTATAGGTGTGATGTTGCAAATGTGAAATTAAGGAATGCTACACACTGCCATGTTAGTTTTTTGTTAATTATTCATGAAACTATGCAAAACATGAATTCATAGAGTTGGTTAATATTCTGGCCACAGTAAGCCCAGTGAAAAATTCCCTTGATTTATATTTTCAAGCTCTTTTGTATGCAGAGATCCTCATTATGAGGATTACTAACTGGCGACTTTCTCAATCTCTAGAAAAAATTGAAAAGATTATTTGAAAATGAATTTGAAAAAATGCTAACTTTTACTTGAAATGTCATGTAATAATCTGGAAAGCAGAATAACCCTGTGTTTGTTTTTAAGGTAATGAATGGAAAACCAGATATGAGACACAAGTAGAACTGAACAAACAGCTGGAAAGGCAAATTAATATTCTTCAAGAAAAGATGGAGCTTATTCGTGGAAATCCAGCAGGTAGAAATGGGTATTCATAACTGTTTTTCAATAGAATTAGTGATTATATATTGAAATTATATCAATGGGTCAAATTTTCTGCTTATTTGTAGATAAATTGTCCATTGTTCGCACCTTTGATCAAATGCCTGTGGTGAGTACTATGGCATTTAGTTGGTTAACAACGAATCGTAGTGTAATTGAAGAACTTGTATAATTTTTTTTTAATGACAAAAATATCAGCAGCCTGGTCTAGAAACCAAAACAATCAGTCCTGCTTACTTTTTTATTGTTTCAGATATGCAGTTCCTTATAGATTTATAAAGTGAGTAAAATTATTAAGTAGGAGGCATGTAAGACCTGAACGTTGGGAAGAATCATGTAGTGAAATTTTTAAGTGAGTGAATGTTGTGTGATTGAACCTGCAGTAAGGCATATCAGATGGAGTGAGTAGCTGGACTAGTTCTGTAAATAAATGGAAAAATTTAAACCTTGATCACAAAATCATGGAATCATTTAGTGTTTGACTACTCTCACAGTAAAAAAAGAACTTTCTTCTGATCACATGGAATTTCATGTGTTTCAGTTTGTGGCCATAGCCTCTTGTCCTGTCACTGGGCACCACTGAGAAGAGCCTGGCTCCCTCTTCTTCATTCCCTCCCGTCACTTATCTGTACACATTGATAAGGCCCGCCTGGGCCTTCTCTTCTCCAGGCTGAACAGTTCCAGCTCTCTCAGTCTCTCCTTATTTGTCAGATGCTCCAGTCCCTGAATCATCTTTATACCCCTGTTCTGGACTTCCTCCAGGAAGTCCATATCTTTCTTGTACTGGGGAGTCCAGAACTGGACCCAACACTTTGGGTATGTCTCACCAGTGCTGAGGAGAAGGGAAGGATCACGTCCCTTGACCAGCTAGCAACGTTCTTCCTAATGGAGCCCAGGTGGCCATTGCCCTTCTCTGCAGCAAGAGTGCGTTGCTGGCTTGTGGTCATCTCGTTGTCCACCAGGACCCCAAGATCATTCTCTGCCAAGCTGCTTCCCAGCCTGTCAGCCCCCAGCATATACTGGTGCCTGGGGTTATTTTGCCCCAGGGACAGGACTTTGCATGTCCCCCTGTTGAACTCAGCTTGATGGGATTCCTCTCTGCCTATTCCTCCAGCCTGTTGAGGCCCCTCTGAATGGCAAGACAATCCTCTGGTATATCAGTCACTACTCTCAGTTTTGTATCAGCTGTGATAACGTAGATGAACAGTTGCAGTAACATTTTGCATACTATACTTACAGGAAAATGCCTCATTGTACGCTAAATTTTTGCAACACCGAAGGAAGTGCCTGTTTTCATTGTTAAATTTTATTCCTTAATACGCTCATATTTCATGACCTGTATGTCACCAAAGCATAAAACATTTTTCTGTGATCTTGAGCAGAAAATGGCAAGAAAAAAACATCAAATATTCTGGCCATCGAGTCTTCTAAAGTAGTAAATGAAGTGAAAACAATGTTAGATTCAGGACTGTTTTTTCCTTAGTCTGTCATCTGCTGCAATCTTTTACTTTGACACTTTTTCTGCTTCTTACCCACTTTTACAAATAGGAAAGATAGATAAAGATGTGATGATAACTTGTAACAATAGCAGGTATAATGAACATTATGAGGAGGGCTCTGATGATTTTTATTCCATGCTTATGCTTACAGAAGTTTTTCCATCTGACTTTTTTGTGCTTCAGATTTTGAAGATTAATGGGAGTTTACTGAGCCTAGAGGAGGCTGCATGCCCTATTAGTGGGAATGATTATCTGTTGTAAGCAGGGTGTGAATAATTAACTGCTCTTTCTGATCTGATCCATGGCTTTCAGATAGTAAACATTCTTGCCAGTTTTAGTGCTGTCATAAAGACCATGGTGTTTTCTAGGTTGGCAGTATATATATATATTTTAACAGCTTATTAAAAAGAGAACAAAGTCTTTGCCATCCAACTTTCCTATTTCACAGAGTTGATTTGAAAATACAACTAGGATTGTGTTTGAAGAAAAGTCTTGAAGACAGAACATTGATCTAGAAAATGTACAGTAGAGTCTGCTTCAGACAATGTTATTCCTGGTAGCCTGTAAAGCACAGACTGGCATGCATGCTGACAGTATCGGAAGTGTTTATTTCCATCCAGTTGCTAGTACTCTCTTAACCAACCCAATTACACCTTGCCAAGCACTTGAAGAGTCATTGCCAGCAAGATAATCTCCTTCACCAGCAGCTGGGCTGCACCAATCCAGTACATTTCTAATCCCTACTAAATACTGCCTTGCCTCCTCACTGATGAGCCGTGGTTCTGAGAGGTTTGATTGCCATTCCCATAAATGAAAGAATGTCAGCACAACTGAAAGATTCATGCTGCCAGAAGGAGTCTAGAAGACAATTTGAAGAGTCCTAGACTTACTCAGTGACACCTAGGGAAATCTGGAGCCCGTGTGCCATGCCGTAGGTTTTTCTTCTGCAGTATTAAGTCCTTCCTTCAGCCTTCCAGCTTGGAGTGAATGCATTCTTCTGTTTGCTAGCCAGAGGGGAAAAAAAAGTGCTTAGGGATTTAGTCAAGTGCTTCATTTTTCCTTGTTTTGATTTTCAGAAGATGGAAAGAGGGGAACAAAATAGATGTGTTTTGTGGGCTTTGCTGGTTTGGTTTTTTTTTTTCACTGAAGCTGTCAGAAAAGTCAGTGTATATTTACAGATACTCTTGGAGGATGCAGAACTGCTTTTTTTTCCCTTTAAATTTAGGAGATAAAACATTGGTAAAAAAAAAAAAAACCACAGATGATTTTGTGGTGTTTAAACATACAGGTTTATCCAAATCCTTTTTATGTTTTTGAGAATTATTCAGAGGAGTAGGGGGGAATATTCAGCTTCTTCACTGGTGAGAATAAAGAGCAGATGTGGTGAGTGGGTGTAGAAAAACAAAGAGCTTTGCAGCCAGTCATCAATCTACATTTGCTCAAAGTAAAAATGCTGAGAGTGGGTATATATAAAATTGTGTGTGTGTGTGTTAAATCAAAAGTATACTATAATATTCCGCTTTCAACTTGCAGTTGCGTATGAATAGAAATATATTCCTATATGAACAGGAATATATATTTCCTATGCGTATTGCATAGGAAAATTTCTTCCCCGAAAGGGTTATCAAGCATTGGAACAGGCTGCCCAGGGAAGTGGTGGAGTCCCCATCCCTGGAGGGATTTAAAAGACGTATAGATGTGGTGCTTAGGGACATGGTTTAGTGGTGGGCTTGGCCGTGTTAGGTTAAAGGTTGGACTCAATGTTCTTAAAGGTCTTTTCCAACCTAAATGATTCTATGATTCTATGATGCTCTGTGGAAAGATGGCAAAGTGATTCTTCCAGCAAGATGATACAATTTCTGTAATATGGCAACAATAGACAGTAAATTTTGTTTTGAGCAACATATTTAGAAAATTAAATGGTATTTGCAAGTCTTTTTAACCTATGTTCCCAAGGAAGTTTGAATTATGCAGTTAGAGTTGTTAGAAAGACCTCTAATAAGTCTTGACTTCCTAAGCAATTTCAGCTGTATTTAACAGAGGAGGTATCTCAAAGATACTAGAGAGAATTATCTCCCTCAACTAGTCATTTAAGATCCTATCATATCCAACAGAAGGAGAAAAACATGTCTGTAGAGTAATTCCTCCCATTTAGAGATAGGTAGCATAAAATATTTTCTCGATTTCAAACACTACAGGGAAAATAAAAAAAAATTAGTCATCAGGGACCCTGGCAGTCAGCAAGCTATACAAACCTGAATGAAAGAGAAGAATACAAATGCAAATTCTGGAGTGATGAACAAGGAAGCATAGAGGATTTTCTGTGTTGATAAATTGCAATAATTGTTGCAGATGGCTTGCACTATTTTTGTTTTAGAATTAGAATTCTACTGATGAATGATTCCTTGCTGTTAAAAACATGCCTAAACCATTTAAATATACAATTATCGTTCTGAAGTCCTTATACGGACTTGAGATAATCCTTTTTTTTGTTTCAAAAAAATCATGTAGGTATCACATGACAGTAAATGCAGAACCAATACCTTGGACACACAAATTTTTACAGCCAGGGTTTAGAAAATCATTTTTGTGTACTGAGGGCAGATAAAAATAACCTAAGCAGTGACAAGCACAAGGGAGTTCCAACAGTGAAAACTGTTTAGTCAGTAATTTCCTCTGTATCCTAGTGAATAATAAAAATGTCATACAGTACTTCAGAAATAATTACAGAAGGAATGCCTTCTCTCTGAAATATAATGATGTGAATTTTACTTGTCTCTCTTAAACATGCTGCATTCATTTGTTCACATTTTTTCATTAAATGATTTTTGGTGAAATACATGCTCTCTGCTAAGCATAATTTCCCATATAAGCAGAAATAAAATTCTTCCTTTCTCTCACCATTTCTGCAAGAAAGAATCCCTAGATAGCGGCTTTAGTATGCAAATACTGAAAAACATACTGCAAAATCAGTTCAGAAGAGCACACTCCTGGTAGCATTGCCTTAGCAACGCTCTAGTTAAGATTAGCCAAGGAACCAAGGTTTCTGTGGTAAATCACCATTTTCAGGAACGTCCAGCACCATCGCTGAGAAAATTCTGACGTTAAGGGCCAGGTACTTGCTTTGCAAAGCTGCCTTTCTGAGTGACCACAGGACTGAGTCCCTCACACAACCACCTCCGGGTTTTTGCTCTCTGTTTTAAAGTGTAAGCAGAATGTGTGGCAGTGTCACACTGGAGAAGGCGTTGGCAACGTGACAGGAGGAGAATCTTGGGTTTATGAAAACACGCAGCGAAGACTTTGTATTGCAGTAGGTGTTAACTGCCTAGAAGCAACATCAGCACTTCATAATGGCGTAGGAAATGCTGACAGTTCTCCTAGGAAGTCAGTGTTAAATGAACCTTGTTGCTCTTGCTGGATTAAGTCAGCAGTAGCTCTATGGGAAGAAGAAATTCGGTATCCTATCTTTTCGTGAAACATGGAAGTATTTTGGAGAAGCTTCTGTAGTGTGGTCTGACTGCCCTAAACTGTATCCTGCCTCCTCACAAACTTCCCCTTCCTACTCCTTTCATCTGACCTCAGACAAGAATTTTGGATGCCTCCAAGGGAC